AGGTCACCCAGAAACAGAATTAAAAACAGAGAAAGACTCAAACAGAATTTCAACTAGGTTTAGATGTGTTCTATTCGTTTTATTATACTTGCAAATTTTTACATCCCAAAATAATTTCTTGTCATGTCAGTGTACGAGATCTTTTAGATCGACTGAAGTTTTAATTGAGAATAGAGCCACGCCTCTCCACTTTTTCTCCGTGATAAACTCGAAAAAGACATGATATCGGCAGGGTTACAATGTATATATAATAATACTGTCACATGTAAAACACATACAAACATGAGCTTAACTTTAATAACATCAAGACGGGGCGTTAAAGCTTCACAGAAAATACCTTCTCTTATCAGGAAATTCTAAATTATAACTGAAGAGTCTGAGTGTTGAAATAGCCAATACGATGTTAAGAACCTGTCATCAATTTAAAATGATAAATCTGAATTCCATTTTTACCTATCGACATCAGAAGTCGCCACGACAAATAAGATTAACATGAGCGGAAAAAAATCCTGCTTTCACCAAGAATTGTCTGGCCAGATACCTTCAACCTATACTTAGCTGTCTACTAACACACACGAGGTACAACTTTGTAACAGTACACCGAATTACAGCTATGTACCAACACATCGGAATTACATATATGTACCAACACATCAGATTTATTGTAAGCTGTGTACCAACACATCGGAATTACATATATGTACCAACACATCGGAATTACATATATGTACCAACACATCGGAATTACAGCTATGTACCAACACATCGGAATTACAGCTATGTACCAACACATCGGAATTACAGCTATGTACCAACACATCGGAATTACAGCTATGTACCAACACAACAAATCACAGCTGTGTACCAACACATCGGAAATACAGCTATGTACCAACACATCGGAATTCTAGCTACGTACCAACACATCGGAATTACATATATGTACCAACACGTCGGATTTATTGTAAGCTGTGTACCAACACATCGGAATTACAGCTATGTACAACACATCGGAATTACAGCTATGTACCAACACATTGGAATTACAGCTATGTACCAACACGTCGAATTACAGCTATGTACCAACAAACCGGAATTACAGCTATATACCAACACATCGGAATTACAGCTATGTACCAACACATCGGAATTACAGCTATGTACCAACACGTCGAATTACAGCTATGTACCAACACATCGGAATTACATATATGTACCAAAACACCATGGTTTCAACCGTATACCAACACACATGACTTACAACTGGTCAGAGCAATTTGTGTGTGGTTGTCAGTTAACAGCTACCATACTGTATGTGCGGAGTACTAAATAAACTTCACCAACATTAGTTTTCATGTGAATCTATCGTACAACTTCCCCTTCAAATTCGTCGTGTTTACACACAAGGTTGTACAATACTTTTATGTTTTTTTAATGCCGGTTTTTGTTAGAAGATCTTTCGTTTTACATATTTTAACATCTTTTGAGAATTGTTTATGAGAATTTTTATCAAAAGTGTCAGATTCAACGTCTATTTAAAGATACATAATGCAAAGCGAACACGAAGTGACGGTATCTTGGCATCGAAATACAACACCGAATGTCTGTCCAAAATATAAAGGTCCTGGTGAAATCGAAGTAATAGTCACTTTTTAATGATAAGCAAATGTGATGTCAGATTTCTAATACTTACATTCTACACGTGACCCCGTGTCGAGTTATGTAGAAATTATCGTAATATACAGTATATTGGAATAGAGGATTAATGTCGTGATGCATTACGTAGTGGTAAATAAACAAAAGTACAAGTGTTCCACTGAAAAGGGGCGTGGCGAGACTCAATTTCATTTCAATTATCAAATACATGTCGTAGTAACGAACAACATATGTTGTGTTACATTTCCAATAACACAAATTCAGATTTTGAATCAACGATACACATTTTTTGTTTACATGCTATCATATATCCAATAATGAAAAGTTATAGGGACGAGAAATTGTGTCCTTCCGCGCATTTAAAAGATTATTAGAAGGTCCATTTCTACATATATGATCTGTGCTTCAGGCACGAGGTACAGTAGAAATAGGAAGGAATAACAATAATCAACAGCATACTTCTATGACTTCAACACTACACAGAAGTGTACAAACTGCCGTGTACAAAGCACTGTAAAAGTCATCACAGAAGTGTACAATCTGCCGTGTACAAAGCAGTGTAAAAGTCATCACAGAAGTGTACAAACTGTTGTGTACAGGGCACTGTAAAAGTCATCAGAGAAGTGTAAAAGTCATTACACAAGTGTTCAAACTGCCGTGCACAAAGCAGTGTAAAAGTCATCACAGAAGTGTACAAACTGCCGTGTACAAAGCAGTGTAAAAGTCATCACAGAAGTGTACAAACTGTTGTGTACAGGGCACTGTAAAAGTCATCACAGAAGTGTACAAACTGCCGTGTACAAAGCAGTGTAAAAGTCATCACAGAAGTGTACAAACTGTTGTGTACAGGGCACTGTAAAAGTCATCACAGAAGTGTACAAACTGTCGTGTACAAAGCACTGTAAAAGTCATCACAGAAGTGTTCAAACTGTTGTGTACAAAGCAGTGTAAAAATCATTACACAAGTGTACAAACTGTTGTGTACAGGGCACTGTAAAAGTCATCACAGAAGTGTACAAACTGCCGTGTACAAAGCAGTGTAAAAGTCATCAGAGAAGTGTACAAACTGTTGTGTACAGGGCACTATAAAAGTCATCACAGAAGTGTACAAACTGCCGTGTACAAAGCAGTGTAAAAGACATCAGAGAAGTGTACAAACTGCCGTGTACAAAGCACTATAAAAGTCATCACAGAAGTGTACAAACTGCCGTGTACAAAGCAGTGTAAAAGACATCAGAGAAGTGTACAAACTGTTGTGTACAAAGCAGTGTAAAAATCATTACACAAGTGTACAAACTGTTGTGTACAAAGCAGTGTAAAAGACATCAGAGAAGTGTACAAACTGTTGTGTACAAAGCAGTGTAAAAGACATCAGAGAAGTGTACAAACTGTTGTGTACAGGGCACTGTAAAAGTCATCACAGAAGTGTACAAACTGCCGTGTACAAAGCACTATAAAAGTCATCACAGAAGTGTACAAACTGCCGTGTACAAAGCAGTGTAAAACTCATCACAGAAGTGTACAAACTGTTGTGTACAAAGCAGTGTAAAAGACATCAGAGAAGTGTACAAACTGTTGTGTACAGGGCACTGTAAAACTCATCATAGAAGTGTACAAACTGTTGTGTACAGGGCACTGTAAAAGTCATCACAGAAGTGTACAAACTGTTGTGTACAGGGCACTGTAAAAGTCATCACAGAAGTGTACAAACTGTTGTGTACAAAGCAGTGTAAAAGTCATCACAGAAGTGTACAAACTGCCGTGTACAAAGCACTGTAAAAGTCATCACAGAAGTAAAAGTCATGTACAGAAGTGTACAAACTGCCGTGTCATCACAAAGTGTACAAACTGTGTAAAAGAAAAGACATCAGAGAAGTGTACAAACTGTTGTGTACAGGGCACTATAAAAGTCATCATAGAAGTGTACAAACTGCCGTGTACAAAGCAGTGTAAAGTCATCACAGAAGTGTTCAAACTGTTGTGTACAAAGCAGTGTAAAAGACATCACAGAAGTGTACAAACTGTTGTGTACAGGGCACTGTAAAAGTCATCACAGAAGTGTACAAACTGCCGTGTACAAAGCAGTGTAAAACTCATCACAGAAGTGTACAAACTGTTGTGTACAGGGCACTATAAAAGTCATCACAGAAGTGTACAAACTGTTGTGTACAGGGCACTATAAAAGTCATCACAGAAGTGTACAATCTGCCGTGTACAAAGCAGTGTAAAAATCATTACACAAGTGTTCAAACTGTTGTGCACAAGGCACTGTAAAAGTCATTACAAAAGTGTTCAATCTGTTGTGCACAAGGCACTGTGAAAGTCATTACAAAAGTGCTCAAACTGTTGTGTAGAAAGCACTGTAAAAGTCATTACACAAGTGTACAAACTGCCGTGTATAGGGCACAGTAAAAGTCATCACAGAAGTGTTCAAACTGTTGTGCACAAGGCACTGTGAAAGTCATTACAAAAGTGTTCAAACTGTTGTGTACAAAGCACTGTAAAAGTCATTATAGAAGTGTTCAATTTGTTGTGCACAAGGCACTGTGAAAGTCATCAGAGAAGTGTTCAAACTGTTGTGCACAAGGCACTGTGAAAGTCATTACAAAAGTGTTCAAACTGTTGTGTACAAAGCACTGTAAAAGTCATTATAGAAGTGTTCAATTTGTTGTGCACAAGGCACTGTGAAAGTCATTACAAAAGTGTTCAATCTGTTGTGTACAAAGCACTGTGAAAGTCATTACAAAAGTGTTCAAACTGTTGTGTACAAAGCACTGTAAAAGTCATTATAGAAGTGTTCAATCTGTTGTGTACAAGGCACTGTAAAAGTCATCACAGTGAGGCAACAACAGTCATCTTTTAAAAAATAACTTTTAACAGGAAAAAACGTACAAAAACAAACAAAAAAGAAAATGAGAAATTAAATGTCAAATAAAGAAGTTACATTAAAAAAACCAGGACAGGAGAGATTAAACAAAGGTATATTTTATCAAAGTATTGAATGTCAGTGTGCATGACATAGGTCAGAGCAACCTAGTCGCCGAGTGACTTCTTAAGATTGAGGAATTTACTTGAAAAAAGTACGGGAAACAATGTTTTGGTCCGACATTGTATTAAAGGGGAAAATAATGTTTGAATAAATAATTCGACAAACACTGAAAAACACAACACTGGAAATTTACCATCAAAGTTACATAAATACTTCTCATTAAACTTCAAAATACTTAGTTTGAAATTGATAAATGGTATGATCGATAGTCGACATCTCTGTAGTAGATCCCGTCCAATCTGCCTGACTAATTAATAAAATAAACATATAAATCAATATTTGCAGTCTACCTTACCTTACAGGTTTGGAGATAAATGTGTCACAGGTAGAAATTATCCACATTAGGGGATCCTGATAAGCACATGTAAGACATCCTACACGTAAAAAATGAACACAATAATTCAATGGAAATGTCGTCCAGGTAAATTCTCATCGGTCGATATTACAAACACCATCTCATTTTTACCAGGTCTCGATTAACATTAAGTTCAATTCTGGATAAGCACTCCATAGCTAAATTTGTAAACTTCTTTTCGTACATCATATAAATATAGATGATATATATATCGTACGAGCCATCCGTCAACTGAAGCCACGCACTGATCAACGAGTCAATGGTTTGCTCTACGAAGCATTATTTATACATATATATATATAGACACGGGATGTCGTGTGTTGAGGGGCCTCGACCACTAGGATGTAGGGCTCGTATTCTGTATAAATAGACAGGACACACTCCTCAGCTGAGCTGTGGAGCGTTAAAGGTGTAGACTAACTATGTAGGTATACATGTAAGCGCGGGCGAGGTACATGTACATATCCCCGCATACGGAGACATGTAAAAACAATACATGTATATATCTCTGGTAAAGTCATACGTTAGTGTAACATATAACAACGCTCTAGACGGATCGTTAGGGATTCATGAGAAAATCAAGTGTAAATTGACACAACTATAGAAGCAATATATGACTTGTTTATTATTGCAATCTATGGACAGTACTGGAGACACCAGACTGTTCCTCACACCACTCAGCGTTAATGAACAACATTTTAACGTCACAACAGGCAAGTCTTTATTGTTAGCTGTGATCGATAAATATACTTATATTGTCAAATGATTTCATGTCTTTTTTGACATTATTGTCTGTTAGTTAATTTTAATAATTGATTTATATTATCATTATGAACATTATCAGTCACTGATATTTGCATTTGATATCATTTATCAATTCAAAACATATTAAGAAAATGTGAGTGTTTATTTTAAAATATCAATGTTTTAGCATTAAAATTGTTTTGAATACTATTGGATCAGGATTTCGCACAGAGGAAAATTACAATCTAGACAGCCGTACAAAATCTCAAAATCTCACCAGCCTAACTTTGTTGTTGGCTAACCGGAAGTACATAAAACAACCGGAACTGAAATGATGATCAATAAAGACAAATGGAAACACTAGGCTTTGTGAACGGGAAGTTAAACTTAGTTTGCTAGAAACGGTTCAATTACTGAATAGATAGCCCATTATATGTCGCTCCGTTCCTAATGATCAATGTATTATTGTATAGCGGAAGTGTTGTTTATCTAGTAGAGTTCTAGTGTGATTGTACACAATATGGGCGAACTCATTATCTAGTTATCATAATCACAGGTTAATGTCAAACAAAGGTCATTTTTAGACCTATAATGGCACACATGAAATCAATCAGGGATATCAGTCGTTTTCACTCGGATATACTTAGAGTTTTCAAAAGGTAGCTTTCAAAATAGAAAGATAAAGACGAACTGACCTTACGATGGATTTCTGAATTAAAATATTTTTTTAGATTTCATGTGAAATTAATCCACACCAACATGCTTTGTATATAGTTCATAGAAACGTTTGCTTGGCAAACAAATATGGACGGTCTTTTTAGTCTTGTCACGTGCACAGCTTGGCAAGGACAATGCCATTATCAGAGTTGTACTCAGTACCATTTGTACACCACGTTCATGATCCCAACCACGATACATGTATATATACACGTGAGGGGTGGATTAAAATGTTATGGTTGGCATCACTGATGGTGCTTAACATTTTAGAGATAAACTGAAGCTTCGTGGGTGGCGTCATTCATGGTGCTTAACATATTAGGGGTAGACTGAAGCTTCATGGGTGGCGTCACTCGCTTAACATATGAGGGTGGATTTAAGCTTCGTGGGTGGCGTCATTCATGATGCTTAACATATGAGGGGTAGATTTAAGCTTCATTGGTGACATCACTCATGGTGCTTAACATATGAGGGTAGGTTGAAGCTTCATGGGTGGCGTCATTCATGATGCTTAACATATGAGGGGTAGATTGAAGCTTCGTGGGTGGCGTCACTCATGGTGCTTAACATATGAGGGGTAGATTGAAGCTTCGTTGGTGGCGTCACTTATGTGTGGTGCTTAACATATGGGGGTGGATTGAAGCTTCATGGGTGGCGTCACTTATGGTGCTTAACATATGGGGGTGGATTGAAGCTTCATGGGTGGCGTCACTTATGGTGCTTAACATATGAGGGGTAGATTGAAGCTTCGTGGGTGACGTCACTTGTGTGTGGTGTTTAACATATGAGAGGTAGACTGAAGCTTCATGGGTGGCGTCACTTATGATGCTTAACATATGAGGTTGGATTGAAGCTCTACGGGTGGCGTCACTTATGGCGCTTAACATATAAGGAGTAGATTGAAGTAACAGTCTTGTTTAATATTAAAGGAAGGTTTTTGATTCGCATTGAGTGAAATTTCAACTTGCATCCTTTCTCTCATCTCTTTCCCATTAGTTGATATTAGAGTACAGCAGAATTTGAATTTTACCGAGTCCTGATATAATTACGCATCATGACAGAATGTCCAAATATAATTATTAGGTTGAACTGAAATGTACTTTTTGGCTGGGTTTTTAACGTTTTGGTTTCTGACTCAGTCAGGCGGACACATTGTTTTTCATTTATTTGCGTTTATTTCTAGAAACAAAGTTAGTCCAAAAATGTTCGTTTTTTAAAATTAATTTACAAATGTCAATGTAGTTTGTCCGGACTAAAAAGGTTCCGTTTTCACGTTTGTTTGAAAGAGGTGAGGTATTACAGGATTGTGATGAGGTTTAACAGGGATAATCAAGATCATGATAATCTATGACATCGTTCTGATTGGAATAAAACAGTCGTGTGAAAGCTTTGAATGTCAGAAGTTTTAAGAAGATAATTTAGATGTTGAGAGGCGGTAATATTCACGACTGGTACCGGCGATAACCGTTTATAATTCTATTTCATTGTCATTCAACAATTTAAACAAGTAGTACGATGACCATATTGCTTCACGCGCTTTGAGTAAATGGTACTGGATTGTGGTATCTCTGTAAAGGGATATAAAGGAATTGTGGCGATAAAGGTAAAGTACGGGATTGAGGGATAGTGGTCACGCTACGAAAGGACAGTGTTAACGATATGACGGGATTGAGAGATAGTGGTCACGCTACGAAAGGATAGTGTTAACGATATGACGGGATTGAGAGATAGTGGTCACGCTACGAAAGAATAGTGTTAACGATATGACGGGATAATGTGGGATTGTGGTCACGCTACGAAAGGACAGTGTTAACGATATGACGGGTTAATGTGGGATTGTGGTAACGCTTTGAAAGGACAGTAGGAGATTCTGGAATCTCTGCGGAGTGATAGAAAGGAATTATTTTAACGCGACAAAGGTATAGTACGTGATTGAGAGATAGTGGTAACGTTAAGAAAGGATAGTGTTAACGATATGACGGGATAATGTGGGATTGTGGTAACACTATATAGGTATAGTGGTAACGCTATGTAGGGACATTACGGGATTGTGGTATCTCTACTGCGGGATAGACAGGGATAGTGGTTACACTGAAAAGGGATAAATGGGATAATGGTAACGGTATTATACGATGGAAATATATATATGAATTAACAGTAAAGAGTTGCGGTAAAGGTATAAAGGGATAGTGGTAACACTATGACGCGATGGAAATAGACTATCTAGAGATGAATTGACAGTAAAGAGTTGTGGTAAAGGTATGAAGGGATAGTGGTAACGCTATGACGCGATGGAAATAGACTATATAGAGATGAATTGACAGTAAAGAGTTGTGGTAAAGTTATTGAAGGATAGTGGTAACGCTATGACGCGATGGAAATAGACTATCTAGAGATGAATTGACAGTAAAGAGTTGTGGTAAAGTTATTGAAGGATAGTGGTAACGCCATGACGCGATGGAAATAGACTATATAGAGATGAATTGACAGTAAAGAGTTGTGGTAAAGGTATGAAGGGATAGTGGTAACGCTATGACGCGATGGAAATAGACTATCTAGAGATGAATTGACAGTAAAGAGTTGTGGAAAAGGTATGAAGTGATAGAACGATATTGCGGTATACCTACGAAGGAAGAAACATTTGATTTTGGAAAGGCTTTGGGTGGAAAATCCGGGACTGCTACAATGTTTCTATCTAATCATGAACATTCTATAATTCAATTCCCTCGAACATTTATAGATGAGGATCAAACTGTGGCAAGATAATCATCCATTATTGGTGATATAATATATAGTACGTGGACAGTGTAGAACTTCCTTTATAATACAGTAGGAGGTTAGCGTAATTAACTGAATTCCCGATACTAAATCATACATCTTAAGTGACACATATATCACGCTAATTAAATGTGATTGTCGATATTTTAATTTTAAAGAAGATTTTAGTTACAGAAGGCACATGGATTGTATTAAACATATTAATAGATTCGACTGTCAAAGTATTTAAATGTCAAATCTATATGTATAATTACCATAGATTACAGTTCCCAACGTTGATGGAACGACACAGGTACAATTTATATCTTTCTAAATATGTCCTGTATATTCATATATGAATATTCATGTGACAACATGTTTCCTTTTTAATATACAATGTAATCATTAAATGATAAAAAAAAAACAATTGCCATTTGTAAATATATGTAGCTTATGAAATTATCTGATTACGTATAAAACTAATGCTATCCTAGCTTGTGACCCAGCATCACAGACGGATATTCCGGACAGCCATTAAATGTATTAAACACATTGCATATTTGTAAATCAAAATGACTATTCATAATGACGCAAAAATTAAGTGTTTTTTTTTTTTTTTTGCAAAACACGGATAGGAAAGCTTGGTATTGAAAGATAATTTGTACATATGTAAATTTCAAAACAATAAACAAAGGAAGGAGATAAATAATTTTCTTGTTTATTTATTTCTTTTAATTGTAGATCGGAGTTGGAACACAAATGATATATGACTCACGCGAAAATGAAAGGTGTTCAAATCTTTAAAAAAAAAAAAAAAGAAAATCGCAGAAAAAAACCTT